ATTTTTTTTCCCCCTGACACACAGTTAGTAGGGAATGGGGGATGAATTAGGTTTATGAAAATTGCATAGTTTTTTCTCAAACAAAAAAAATTGCATAGTGATGTGTATAATGTTTGAATATCTTACCAATTATCCGATTATGTGTATATCAAGTGCAAATACTCTTACTAGTATAATTTTACATTGTTTCGACAAATGAGTACATAGATTAGACCTAGCATAGATACTTTAAACAAAATTTGTCCATAATATGTAGGCTGAACACTCAAACATTAACATATTCCGAAATGCATAAATTACAAAATAAAAGTTCGAAGAAATCAAAGAATTGAAGACAACATTTTTGTTATGTCAATAGACAATACAGTATCTCCTGTCTAGTAGTGGATTAAACCCAATTCTTGTGCTGTCCCATTTCCACTAATGAAATTAATTAAAAATTAAATAGCGTACAACTAAATCAATGGATCAAATTAACACAAGTTAATCATCGGACGGCTTAAAATGAATCTGCCTCACACCCTTCACCGTATGGGGTCCAGTGCACATCACATGGCTCCTCTGTGTCTCTCTCTCCACCGACACTCTGCTTACCGTCGATATCTCCAAAGCACCGTCAAGATCTTGCCACGTACATCTTCTCTTATACTCTGCATCTAACACACAGTAGACTATCTACTCCAACGCTGCTCCAAACTGTAGAGACAGTGGCATTTACGCGTTCTTAAGAGTGGAGTATAAAACAAAGGATCTGAATTAGCTGAAAGAAGCAGTTGGAGATATACAATTCATACAGATTCACAAAAAACCTTCCTTCCTTGTCTGGATCGAACAACAATGGACGTTTTCTACTACGTTGTGTTTGGGGTTCTGGGCCTCGTCGTCGCGGCATTGGAGCTTAGCAAGAACAATAAGGATCGGATCAACACTTCTTCAGCTTTTAATTCTTTCAAGAACAACTATCTCGTCGTGTATTCGCTCATGATGGGTACGAATACGCTTCTCTTCCCCTTTGTCTGATTATGTCTATAAAAGCATGTTTCGATCCGATCTGGTTGTTGGGAAGAGGTTAATTAGTGGGTTTGTCCGGAGATTTAGATCCATTGCCAAGTATTGTCTTCTAGAGAGAGTTTGGTTTCACACTGAGAGAAGTGTAAAAGTAAGATAGGTTGATAATAATGCTACTTTGAGCTAAAGTTTTGAACTTTATGCCATAGAAGAGGTTAAGTTTTGGTATTTGTCTAACATCAATGATCCTGACCGGAGTTGCTGACTCTGTTTGTTTTGTGATTGCAGCGGGTGACTGGTTGCAGGGTCCATATGTGTACTATCTTTATAGTACTTATGGATTTAGTAAAGGGGAGATTGGACAGCTTTTCATTGCTGGTTTTGGTTCCTCTATGTTGTTTGGTACAATCGTTGGATCTCTAGCCGACAAACAGTGAAATTTCTCTCTGATGCTTTCAATTATGTTGGAGTAAATGACAAATCTCAGCAACTCTCTTACTAATTGCATAATGGTGTGTTCTGTATCAGGGGTCGTAAGAGGGCATGTGTTACGTATTGTATTACGTACATATTGAGCTGCATCACCAAGCATTCTCCTCAATATAAGGTTTTGATGGTAGGCCGTGTGTTGGGAGGTATCGCTACTTCCCTTCTCTTTTCATCATTTGAATCATGGCTAGTTGCCGAGCACAATAAGGTAAAGCAAGGCTTTTTTCTGTATTAAGCTGAAATAAAAATGTCATTGTTAGATATAAACAGTGCGTGTTTTTTTGTGATGTGTGTAGAGGAGCTTTGAGCAACAATGGCTGTCTGTTACATTTTCAAAGGCGGTATTTTTTGGAAATGGTCTTGTAGCAATTATCGCTGGATTGTTTGGGAACTTGCTAGTGCATTCCTTCTCTCTTGGGCCTGTTGCGCCATTTGACGCTGCTGCATGCTTTCTTGCTATTGGAATGGCTGTCATTCTATCATCATGGACAGAAAACTATGGAGATCCTTCGGACAACAAGGACTTGATTACCCAGTTCAGAGGTGCTGCAGTGGCCATTGCCTCTGGTGAGTTGAAAATATTGTTGCCTCCAATTGGATTTGCTTCTTTCTCTATTGTGATGATTTTCTGTCTTGTTTCTGCTCTCTCATTGTCCTCATTCCTGTCTTAAGTCTTGAAGAATGTTTGATGATTTTGAAAGTAAGAGAATTTTTTTATTATCATTCTTTAGATGAAAAGATTGCACTGTTGGGTGCCATCCAGTCGCTTTTTGAAGGATCTATGTATACTTTTGTATTCCTCTGGACTCCTGCTCTTAGCCCGAACGATGAGGAGATTCCCCATGGTTTCATCTTTGCAACATTTATGCTGGCTTCGATGCTTGGTAGTTCCCTTGCATCTCGTCTGTTGGCTCGCTCATCTCCCAAAGTAGAGAGCTACATGCAGATCGTCTTCCTGATTTCTGCTGCTTCACTATTACTTCCAATATTAATGGCTGTGAGTTAAAATACGCTTCTTGTGAATCCTTCTTTGCATGCTGTCTTTACTTATATTCTGTGACTAAGTGTTTGCAATTGGATGTTTGACTCAGTCATTCATCGCACCTTCCAAGGTAAAAGGTGGAGGAATCTCTTTCTCAGGTTGCTTTCAGCTCCTTGGGTTCTGTATATTTGAGGCGTGTGTAGGATTGTTTTGGCCATCCATAATGAAGATGAGATCCCAATACATCCCTGAAGAAGCCAGAAGCACAATCATGAACTTTTTCCGCATTCCTCTGAATATCTTTGTCTGCGTTGTCTTGTACAATGTAAGTCCCCCAAAATTCCTTTTATGCACTATAGTAGCTGAAATCCCATGAATCTGTGTCTTGGTACTTACTAGTTTGATATTCTCTGAAGGTGAATGCATTCCCTATCACGGTCATGTTTGGAATGTGCTCGATCTTCCTCTTTGTTGCAAGTCTCCTGCAAAGGCGGCTAATGATGATTGTTGACAAGCCAAGTATGTTCTCTAAATTTTCACTTGGATCGGGACTATCTATCTGCTCTAGTACGCTTACCACTTACAATCCCTATAACTCTTGTGTCTTTGCAGAGACAAATGATTGGACACCTCTTAATGAAAGAAACACAGAAGAAGATCCCCTCAACATTTGATGAATAAACTATACATACGCACATTCTGGATTCAGTCATGGAAACAGATAGAAGAAGACGACTTTAAGGTATAAGGTATATTATATAGCACGAAACAATGCGAACAAAAAGAGCACAGCGGTATTAGATTCAAATGCAGTAGTTCGATTGTTTAGTTTTCTTGGTTATTATTACTGTTGATGTTTAGATTCAAAGACGAGTTTAATTTTTATGCAACCAAAATGTTATTCTTTCTTTCTATGCAAGGCCCTGCTTCTACCATATTGTTTAAGCCATGTTCCTGTTATATCATTTCGACAAAACACATCCACAGATAATTATCAGCTTTTAAGAGACCATAAAAATCAGTATAAGAATATAATCACTAGCATTTGTGTTTGGTCGTAAAACATTACAGTTCCTAGTTAAAGCTATTACAAAGATCTAGTTCTTCAAGTAAAGACATTTTCCCAGATTACAATAATCTGTGTTGCTGCGTTTTCTGTACAAAGCATTTGTTGTATATATTTTTGTCTGATGAGCTAGAAAACGGGACAGCCAGCAACGACAACGCCTTTGGCGGTTGGACAGGAAGCGTAGGGACATGTATCACGGTCGCCAGAATTTCCCCACCACTGCACTTCAATGCCTTTTCGTCCGAGTGCTAGAAAAAGAAGTATGGTCATAAAAGCGGAGCCAGCATCTAACCCACCTGACAACACATAGTTATACTTCTTCCACCAGTCTGTCCTGTATTTGAAAATGAAGTGGCCAAAAACGAATGCAACGATGAGCCAGCTGGTGAAGTTAACCGCTGTTGCAGGTGGCATCATTGCGGTAGCTCCCACAAGGACAGGGATATGAATCTTGGAGATCCATGTCTGAGCCGGGAATGTTTTTGTCGCTAACCAGACCAAGAGTGGGGCTATGGCTCCTACAAGGAAGAACCAGTTGACATTTGAGTATTCTCCAAGGTCTCCAAACATCCTACGTGGTCCCACTAGTCCCCAAATGACAGAGGCGTCAAAGAAGACGCGGTCCATAGGACAAGTCCATTGGCTGTCTGAAGGAAGCAAGGCTGTGTCACAGAGATGAGGAATCTCTTCCATTAACCACCAAGCTGTTCCTGTGTACACCACAACTGCCACAAGCGTCCCTACCACCTGCACTTGTTACACAATTTGATTAGTTTTGCTTTTCTTATGGACTTCTATCTCAAAGCCAATTGATAACGTACCTGAGCCATGAACATGCTTCTAGGCGGGATCTTCATGTAGTGACCGAGCTTGAAGTCGGAAATGAAAGTTAGCGCTTGTGTCATACTGATGTATCCATAGACCTTGAAACACATGTTGGCAACAGGACGTTCCGGGTAGATATACCCAATAACATACTCGGTTATGATGTTCAAACCCGGAGCTTGGTTAGTGGTGGCGGCTATGACACCGATCAAAGGAGTGAAAGTGATAGCAATGGCACAAGCAAGTAACACTCCCCACCATGGAAGCTGCACTGTCGCATTGTAGTGCACAGAGATGAACATGATGAGCGCGATATTCAGTAAGAGGATGACCAAAAACCACCACATCGGAACTCCTCTGTAGTTTTTCTTCATGATTCTCGTATGTATATCCATTTTCTTGTTCTTCTGAAACGCCCCTCTTGTCTGCTTCCACAAGTCACTGTAACACAAGTAGAGATTAGTCTGAGTTTTGGTCCAGAATTTACCTGATTAGTCGTAAAACATAACTAAATATTATTTGTACCTTCCGTTGAAGACTAAGACATGGACAATGGTGGCAGACAATGTAGCAAACCCGAGCCCATAAGTAACAGCAAAAAAGGTGCTCATGTTGATAGAGCCGGTCCTAGAGTAAACCACGCGGTCGAGATGGAATTTGCTATCAATAATGCTCAACACATCATAGCGTGAGCCGTTAGCCATAAAGAGCTGGCTAGAGAAGATAGGGAAGGTCTTGGCTTCGTAAATGTTAAGCCAGTAACAAATAGGCGTGACGACATACATGACTAGCACAAAACCAATGGCTACATTGATGGAAGCAAACAAGGGACTAGCTAAAGGGCTTCCAAGATAAGCACTAATAGTGACCCAATCAAAACCAATAGATCCAATACCAAGACCGTGTTCACCTGAACCGAGTTGGTTAACTAGAATTGATTTGGGATTAAGCCAGCAGACCCATGAGATTGATGTTAACATGGTGAATAGATAACCGGGAAGGATGTAGTAAGCGAAGCTAGCTACGAGGACGATTAAGAAGAATTGTGTTCGACTCATATCGCCTTTAGATTTCTTCTCTCTCTCGTGTAGTGCACCGAAGAGAGAGACTTGAACAAGATTGCTTGGCCACCACATTTCACCTGGCTCAACCAGGTGTTTCCTGAAGAGACCGGCCCACCCAAATCCAAGAATCTAAAAGCACAGAGAAACAAACTTCAAGATTCAAGAAAGTTGCAAGAAATTGACAAAACAAGAAACAAGAGGAAGTCAAAGCAGACCTGAGTGGTGATCATAACGAGAAACGCAGGTAAGAAAGGAAGAGAGCGTTTGTAATAAAGCTTAATAGCACTGAGAATATGAGTGGCGTAAACGGAACCGGCGCCGGAATTCGCAAAGATTGTAATCAGAACATGTTCCTTGACGTTGAAGTCACCGGGGTTTAAGGTGAACTCGTACCCCGTACCTTGAAAGAATCTCCTTGTCGGAAGCACCCGAGCCATGAGATGTCCGAGCGGCACCACGGCGATCTGAGCTGAGATTCCGGTGATGCTCAAGGGCATAGTTCTATACCAGAAAAACTGGTTGATGAAGGAGAGTACAATGCACGCTCCGATACCAAGAACCCACATCCGGAATGTGAGAACCGGTAAAGACGGGTCGTCGGTTTTGGGAACAGTGAGCTCAACCTCCGGTACAACGCACCGGTCATCATCCTCCATAACCACCGTGTACTCTTCTGCTATCTCTCCCATTTCTTATTGTAAATATGTGTTTCCGATCTTTGAGGGAGATGACTCTAATCTTCTTTTTCTTTTATGTGTAATCTCTTGGATTATTGAATTGATGTATATATATATATATCCACTTGCTTATTTCTCGTCTGTATCCATTAAGGAAGTCTGTCTTTTCCACTGAAATCTTTTTCTTTCTTTTTTCTCACTCACATGTTTATTATATTTATAGATGGATATATGGGCAGATAATAATATAATGGATTTTGCAGAAGAAAGCGAACAAAATATGAGTGGAAAAAGACAAGCGATGGGTCAAGAGTGGGAGTGAAAAAAACAGCTAAGACGAGATATATAAAACTATTTGTTTTGTAAATTTAAAACCTAACAAGGAATGCCAACAAAAAAAACGAAGTCAGATTTTAAAACATTTTTTTCTAATCAGATATTAAAATATTAGTAGTACAGAAGCAAAGATATACATGTACTCCATCGAAAACAATATATCCCTTATACATCATTTGCTTATATATCAATTTGAGAAAACAATTTGTGATTTTCTCAAATTTGCTTATATATCACCACAAGAATTACTCTCCCCAATTTTATTATGACATAAATTCAAAGAAATATGACATGGCAAATATGAATAAAAACAACATTTTTTACAAAATCTTCTTTAACTATGTTTACATTTCTTTCCATAAATAAATTAAAAGAAATTTTAAATAATATTTTATACAAATATTTACGTTGTTCATTAAAAAAATGTTTAAAAATTAATTTTTGTCACAATAAAGTATTAGAACACTTTTTCATATAAATATATTTTATTGAAATTTAAGATTTAAAATTTTTTTAAAGAGATTTTATTATGTTTTGTGACAAAAAAGTTTCAAATTTATAAAAACAAATATATGTTTCTTAAAAAACATCAATTTCTAACACTAGACAATTTGAAAATAACAAAATCATTTAAGATAAATTGTATATAAATTTTTATATGCTTATATTAAATATAATTTTATATAAATCAAAGGTTACATGTTTTACATGCTAATATTCAATTTTTATATTTGAAGAAAAACAGTTTAACATTGTCCTATTATATTTAATGTTTAGTAAAAAAACACTATGAAAAGTTCAATATGAAATAAAAAAGACCAGACCATAGAAAATCGTTCAATGAATAAAATTAATTTCTAAATCTTATATTTTCCTAATCATCCCATATAAATAAAAATCGTTTACATTTAACAACATATGAAAAAGTGTAAGAGACGTTAATAATAATAAAAATAGACAACAACAAAAGTTTGGAAAACAAAAGAAGAAGAAAATGTAGTGTACTTAGTTTATGTTATATTAAAAATTTTATTAATTTTTTTCTGTTTACGAAAAGTTGCTCACATTTATCTTTTCATATTTCGATGTCGAATTCAGTTTTTATTCAAAATTTAATACGAAGAAAATGATATTCTTTGAAAAGATGATCAAATAGGAGATTCAATATTTTATGAGAGGAATTTAAACTTTTGATAATAGATTGTGCACTCCAATATATTAAATTATTATATATTTTATTTGATACGTTTACATATATAAAATAATGAAATGGTAACTAAACTTCCAAAAATTTATATTATTAACAAAATATCAACAACAATGTATATAATAAAAATAAAAAAATACATATTTTCACATTTTCAAAGTGTAAAATTCAAAAAAATTATAAATAAATTATCCGCGTATATGCGGAAGAATATATACAAATTAATTTCATAGTGGCAACTGGCAAGGAAATTAAATACGTAAATTTGGTCTACTTGTCTTCCCTGCAAGTAGATAACTAAATAATGCATCTTGTTTCGAAGGGTAACGGAATTGACGGCACAAAAGTGGTGAGTACTTGAATAGACCAATATGATTCACGTCTATGGTAAAACCCTAAATCTAAATGCAACAAATTAACATATTTCAATGATCGGTGCCACTACAGCTGTACAACAAATTTGTTGTGCTCACTATGGCACTACGCACCAACCCTT